GCCTCGCGGCGCCCGGGCCGTCCAGTCCATTCGGACCTTCTGGACGCCTCGCCCCGACCCAGGGAGCCGCCGGACCCGGTGCCCAGCTGGGCCGGCGGCCTCGGCGCTGTGCCTTTGCAGACATCCCTCCGCGCTGGGGAGGTGGCGAAAGGGCACGCCTGCCAAATGCCGGTCCTGGAGCCGATTTCGGCCTAGGCACGGCCAGGGTCCTGGCTGAACTTGGGCGCCCCTCCTTGCAGGGCTTAGGGCAATTTCTAGAATCTGGGCCCATTGTTTGCTTAGAGCGAAGATTGTCCTGCAGTCTAAGGGCCTGGAGTTTTCCAGGAGAAGGGCCTGGGGCTCTCATTGGATTCTCACAGGATCTTCACCTCCACCATGATCTGGTTCAGAACCTCTTCTCTAGAAAGATGCTCGGTCCTCTGTCCCCGCCTCAGGTGTCCTCCTGTTTCCTTCCCTCCCTAGCAAAGCCCCTTTAGGAAAGCTGAGTGTGAAACGATCTTTTTCCTCAGGTGTACTTTGACCTGCGAATTGGAGATGAAGACGTAGGCCGGGTGGTCTTTGGTCTCTTTGGAAAGACTGTCCCCAAGACAGTGGATAACTTTGTGGCCTTAGCTACAGGAGAGGTAAGCAGCTGGAGCAGGGCTTGTCGACACCCATGAAGTGAAGTTGGCCAAGCAGCTAGCAGCAAACGACGCACACAGGATGCAGCCCTGTAGCATGGCCCTCACTGCCTGTTGCCCCGTTGCAATGGACCCAGGATTGTCCTGTCTTAAGAGTAAGGGCGCCGCTGGGCTCGGTGGCTCAGCCTGTAATCCCGCACCTTTGGGAGGCTGAGGTGAGTGGATTGCCTGAGCCCGCGGGTTCGAGACCCGCCTGGGCAGCGAGACCTCATCTCTACAATAAATCAAAAAATTAGCCAAGTGTGGTGGTGCATACCTGCAGTTCCAGCTACTTGGAAGGCGAGGTGGAAGGATCACCTGAGCCCAGCAGGTCAAGGTTGCAGTAGCCATGAGCATGCCACTGCACTCCAGCCTGGGTGACAGAGTGAGACTCCAACTCAAAAAAAAAAAAAGTAAGGGAGCCAGGCACATTGGCTCTCAGCCTGTAATCCCAGCACTTTGGGAGGGGGAGGTGAAAGGATTGCCTGAGCCCAGTTGGCAACTTGGCGAGACCTCATCTCTACAATAAATCAAGAAATTAGCCAGGCATGGTGGTGCATACCTGCAGTTCCAGCTACTTGGAAGGCGAGGTGGAAGGATCACCTGAGCCCAGCAGGTCAAGGTTGCAGTAGCCATGAGCATGCCACTGCACTCCAGCCTGGGTGACAGAGTGAGACTCCAACTCAAAAAAAAAAAAAGTAAGGGAGCCAGGCACATTGGCTCTCAGCCTGTAATCCCAGCACTTTGGGAGGGGGAGGTGAAAGGATTGCCTGAGCCCAGTTGGCAACTTGGCGAGACCTCATCTCTACAATAAATCAAGAAATTAGCCAGGCATGGTGGTGCATACCTGCAGTTCCAGCTACTTGGAAGGCGAGGTGGAAGGATCACCTGAGCCCAGCAGGTCAAGGTTGCAGTAGCCATGAGCATGCCACTGCACTCCAGCCTGGGTGACAGAGTGAGACTCCAACTCAAAAAAAAAAAAAGTAAGGGAGCCAGGCACATTGGCTCTCAGCCTGTAATCCCAGCACTTTGGGAGGGGGAGGTGAAAGGATTGCCTGAGCCCAGTTGGCAACTTGGCGAGACCTCATCTCTACAATAAATCAAGAAATTAGCCAGGCATGGTGGTGCATACCTGCAGTTCCAGCTACTTGGAAGGCGAGGTGGAAGGATCACCTGAGCCCAGCAGGTCAAGGTTGCAGTAGCCATGAGCATGCCACTGCACTCCAGCCTGGGTGACAGAGTGAGACTCCAACTCAAAAAAAAAAAAAGTAAGGGAGCCAGGCACATTGGCTCTCAGCCTGTAATCCCAGCACTTTGGGAGGGGGAGGTGAAAGGATTGCCTGAGCCCAGTTGGCAACTTGGCGAGACCTCATCTCTACAATAAATCAAGAAATTAGCCAGGCATGGTGGTGCATACCTGCAGTTCCAGCTACTTGGAAGGCGAGGTGGAAGGATCACCTGAGCCCAGCAGGTCAAGGTTGCAGTAGCCATGAGCATGCCACTGCACTCCAGCCTGGGTGACAGAGTGAGACTCCAACTCAAAAAAAAAAAAAGTAAGGGAGCCAGGCACATTGGCTCTCAGCCTGTAATCCCAGCACTTTGGGAGGGGGAGGTGAAAGGATTGCCTGAGCCCAGTTGGCAACTTGGCGAGACCTCATCTCTACAATAAATCAAGAAATTAGCCAGGCATGGTGGTGCATACCTGCAGTTCCAGCTACTTGGAAGGCGAGGTGGAAGGATCACCTGAGCCCAGCAGGTCAAGGTTGCAGTAGCCATGAGCATGCCACTGCACTCCAGCCTGGGCGGCAGAGTGAGACAACTACTCAAAACAAAAGAGTAGCCGGGCTCAGTGGCTCAGCCTGTAATCCCACACCCTGGGAGGCTGAGGTGAGCAGATTGCCTGAGCCTGTGGGTTCAAGACCCACCTGGGCAACTACAATAAATCAAAAAATTAACCGGGCATGGTAGCACGCGCCTGTAGTTCCAGCTACTTGGAAGGCTAAGGCGGAAGGATTGCTGGAGCCCAGCAGGTCGAGGCTGCGGTGGCCGGGAGCAGCCACTGCACTCCAGTCTGAGCGACAGAGTGAGACTTCAACTCAAAAAAAAAAAAAAGTAAGGAGCCCAGAGCCTCCTGGGAAGACCTCTCTCTGGGAAACAGCAATGACCATTTAAGAAAGCTTGTAAGTTAATTTTCCATTGGGCCAGCAGGTGACCTTTTTTCTCTGTCAGTTTTCCGCATCTGTTCTTATGACTGGAAGAAATGAGAGGGGGAGGCATTTTATGATGTAAGGTTGTATAAAGCCTGGGAATTCAGCTGGGTATGCTGGCTAACTCCTGTAATCCCAGCATTTTGGGAGGCAGAGGCAAGAGGATTGCCTGAGCTCATGGGTTGGAGACCAGCCTGGGCAACGTAGTGAGACCCTGTCTCTACATTAACAATATTTTTAGCAGGGTGTGTGGCTCACACCTGTCATCCCAGCACTTTGGGAGGCAAGACAAGAGGATTGCCTGAGCCCATGGGTTTGAGATCAGCCTGGACAACATGGGGAGACCTCGTCTCTACAACAAGTAAAAAAAAAAAAAAATAGCCTGGTGTGGTGGTGGGTCCCTGTAGTTCCAGCTACTTGGAAGACTGAGGTAGAGGGATTGCCTGAGCCCAGCAGGTTGAGGCTTGGTGGCCGTGAGCATGCCACTGCAGTCCAGCCTGGGCAATAGAGTGAGACTCTGACTCAAAAAAAAAAACACCTGAGAATTCTATAGGCAGGGGTACTCCTGGGACTGCGCCCCACGCCCGGCCTGTGGCAACTGCTCCCTCGGTAGCGTGGTGAATAATGAGTCTGGCCAGCACTGGTGTCTCTTCTATGAGCAACTGTGGGGCTGGGTTCCTGCAGGCCCTATTTGGTGTCTGCCTGCTACTTCATACCCCCTCCTTACCTTCTGTTTCTTTTTCTAGAAAGGATTTGGCTACAAAGACAGCAAATTCCATCGTGTAATCAAGGACTTCATGATCCAAGGTGGAGACTTCACTAGGGGAGATGGCACAGGAGGTAAACCCAGGTCCTCTGGGCAAAGAATTATGTGCTCACATGTGAGGGCCAGGACGTATTGGGTAGACAAGTCCTTTCCCACCCTCAGCTCTCAGGGCAGGCCTGTGATCTGCTCTGAGACCAGTTGCTCCCTTCCTTAGAGAGAGCCCAGTCCAAAGAGTGGACCTGAGAGGATCTCTCCCAGGCAGGGCACACGCTGACCCGGCCCACAGCCTGCTGACCTTTCTCAAGATACCTCTTCAGGGCGGGGGTGCATGTGGAAGGAAAGTGGAGACACACGGATAGGTAATTCTAGGTAAGGCTTGCTAAGCCTGCGCAGGCCACGTGGAAGCCCTGTAAAAGTGGGGAAAGTTGCTTTTCTTGGTGTCTCCCACCAGAGACCACTCTGCAAGGGCTGAGGCCCATCTCTACGTTAGCATGCACACACACAGGACAGAAGGACACCCAGGGCACAGGCATGGGAGAGCTCACTCTGGATGAGTAGTCATCCGACCCCGCTCTGTGTTGGGTATTGAGGGTGCAAAGGTCAGTGGGGTGGCAGCTCTCTTTTATTTTTTTTGTTTGTTTTGAGTCAGGGTCTCACTCTGTCACCCAGGCTGGAGTGCAGTGGCACACTCATGGCCACCAAACCTCAACCTGCCGGGCTCAGGCCATCCTCCCACCACAGCCTTCCAAGTAGCTGGAACCACGGGCATATGCCATCACACCCAGCTAATTTTCTGATGTATTGTAGAGATGAGGTCTTGCCATGTTGCCCAGATTGGTCTCGAACCTCTGGACTCAGGCAGTCCTCTCTCCTCTACCTCCCAAAGTGCTGGGATTACAGGTATGAACCACCGGGCCTGGCTTTTTTTTTTTTTTTTTGAGTCTGGATCTTGCTTCTGTTGCCCAGACTGCAGTGCAGTGGCATGATCATGGTTCATGGCAGCCTTAACCTCCTGGCTGAGGCGATCCTTCCCCCTCAGCATCTCAAGTACAAGCCACTACACCCAACTAAGTGCTTTTATTTTTGTAAGGACGAAGTCTGTGTTGCCCAGGCTGGTGTCAAACCCCTAGGGTCAGGCAATCCTATTGCCTCTACCTCCCAAAGTACTAGGATTACAGGCCTGAGTCACCAGCCTGGCCCCTTTCACTTCTAGTACCTGAAAATGTACAAATGTGCCAAGAGGCAGCTTTCCAGCTCTGTCCTCAAGTTTTTGTGGTTTTTTAGAGTTCCGCTGTCACCCAGGCTGGAGTGCAGTGGCACGCTCACGGCCACTATAGCTGGGCTCCGGTGATCCTACCCCTCAGCTTTCCAAGTAGCTGGAACTACAGGCGTGTGTCACTACACTCAGCTAATTTTTTTACTTACTGTAGAGATGAAGTCTCACCAAGTTGCCCAGGCTGGTCTTGAACCCGTGAGCTCAGGCAATCCTCTCACCTTGGCCTCCAAAGTACTGGGATTATAGGCGGCATGAGCCATTGCGCCCAATCAAGTTGTTTATCGTCCAGGTGAGAAGAACTAGGAAACAACACTAAGAAAGCTGCAGAACAATACAAGATTTAAGTAATAGCTAAAGGACTTGAAGGCACAAAGCAGATGTGATCTAAAGACCTATATTTGGAGTTGGGTGTGATCCAGCATCTGCTGCCTTCTTATTTTGTGTGACCTTAGGCAAGGACGTTCTTGGAGCTTCAGTTTCCTCTTCTGTCAACTGAGAGTGGTGGGGTTATGGGTGCCATGAGGATTAGGATGGATCCTGAGTGCCGAGTGCCTGGCACTTGGTGAACACTCAGTAAGTCAGTCATCGCTGAAGTGCTGACAGGCAGTGGAATCACTTCCAGCCAGGGTGAACATGAGAATCATTTGAGCAGGTCCTGGATGGGAGAATTTGAATGGGCCAAGGACAGGTGGGGTAAGACGTACTGTGTCCTGTGGCAGGAGCTTGGTCAGAGGTGAGGTGGGAGAAGAGAAGCAGGTGCCTCCGGGAGCAGTGAAGACCAGACTAGGAGGGTGACAAAGGGGTGTTGGGGCACAAGCAAGCACACTGCAGCCTCTGGTGCAGCCGTCCCCGCGGGGGAGACCGGCCTGGAGCCTAGAGAGGACAGCCTGCTGGGCAAGTGCTTCAAGAGCCAGGCCACCTTGGTGTGAATCCCAGCTCTGCTGCTTCCCTCTAACCCACGGGTCTTCAACCCCCAGGCCATGGACCAGTACTGTCCTGTGGCCTGTTAGGAACCAGGCCACATAGCAGGTGAGCCGAGGACAAGCAGAGCTCTATCTTCTGTCAGATCTGTGGCGGCATTAAAGTCTCATAGGAGCGTGGCCCCTGCTGTGAACTGCACGTACGAGGGAACTGGAGTGCCTGAGCATCCTCCACACCAGCCATAGGAAAATTGTGGTCCCTGATGCCAGAAAGTTGAGGACTGCTGCTCCAAACTCTCTGTACCTCTGTTTCTTCACCTTTAAAATCGAGTTATTACCTCCTACCACATAGGGCGGATTGCGAGGCATGAAAATTGGAACAGTGTATGGCACCCACGGTGCTCTAAACAGCCACCGTGACAGTGGGGAATGGAAAGGAAGGATGAGTAGATGGTGGGTGGACAGGGACAGCGTGAGCAGGGTGCAAGGTGACTCGGTAGCTGGTCTGAGGGAGAGGACTGCCTGTTTGGGTTTGGACCTCCTTGTATCTGGGGTAGGCGCTTGGAGCTAAGGATGTAGACACGGAGGTTTTCTGGGTAGCAGCCACAATCCAAGTCCTGCAGCTAGTTGGGATTTACAAGGAGGCCTCCCGAACAGGGGAGGCTTGTAGCCAGTACCCCAACAGGAGTCCCATGATGGCAGCAGTCTCCTCTTCCTGGCGTGGGGGGTAAGAGGTGGGTCCCGGGCAGAATCCCCCACCCACCAGCCAGTCTGGTCATTCTTGGTTTTGGTTGTCCCACCTGCTGCCCAGTCAGAAACTTCTCCCTGGTTAGTGTCAGGCTAGGACAGGAGATTCCCAGCCCGGTTCCATTCTGCAGAGCCACAGGATAAAGGCAGGTACACTGGGAAGGAAAAGGGGCAAACATGTTTGAAAGGTGTTGGGTAAAACAAAATAAAAGTGACTTATTTATTGCTGGGCCCAATATACAGTGTCAATCTCCAAGAAGTGACAAGGAAAAAGAAGGGCTTCAGTGTTTCTCCTGGAACTAGGATTGCTGACATAGTGCGGCTTTTCCTCGTCCTCAAGCCCCACATGGACAGACATGTCACACACACCTGTAGCTGCCTGTTCATTTCCTTCCTTGAAAAGCAGCTTCGACTCTGTAGAACCACATTGCAGCCCCTCCTTGTCTTTCCCTGCCCCTCCCACGCCCCTCAGGCTGCTTTCTGCATTGCCATCTTGTGCTCCTGGGAAGGCAAGCTGGGCAGCCTCGGCAGGGCTCCTTTCCTGAAGGGTTTCTATCCCATCCCACCCTCCCAGCACCTGTCTCTACCCACGTCCCTCCATGGCAGGCCCTGGACCGAGGGCAGCTGGTAACATGTGCCTTATTAAATCCATAAAACCATCACTGCCAAGTAAACAGTCCATTGTGAGCTGTTAAGTCCATCTGGCCTGAGGCCCCAGCAGGTCTCAGCACACTTTGGCTCTAAGGCCAGAGGACTGGAAGGGGCTGGCTTTCATGTCCTCGCACCCCACCCAGGCCTAGCCTGGCACAGAAGACAGTCCTCCCCCCAGACATCCGCTTGGTTGGGCCCGCCCAGCTCCTCCAACCTGCTCTGTCTGTCCTCCCAGGAAAGAGCATCTATGGGGAACGCTTCCCAGATGAGAACTTCAAGCTGAAGCACTACGGGCCAGGCTGGGTGAGCATGGCCAACGCAGGCAAAGACACCAACGGCTCCCAGTTCTTCATCACTACAGTCAAGACAGCCTGGCTAGATGGCAAGCACGTGGTGTTTGGCAAGGTTCTGGAGGGCATGGTGAGTTCCAGGGATTAACCTGGCCTGGGCAGTCCTCCCCAGGACCAACACAGACCCTGTGGCGAGGACTCCATGCAGTTCATCCTTTTCCCAGAAGGACCCCACCCACGGAGTGGGGCCACTGGTCCTGTCTCCCACCCCAGGGGGAATCCAGAATAACCACCTGCATCTCCATGCCCCAAGGTTCTCCATCCTTCCAGGCCTAGCCAGGAGACCTGGTTGAGGCTGCACAACTGCAGGAACCTCCATTCTGTAATCCACTTAGACTGTGATGTGCTCCTACCCTGAGCTGCACAGGGTACAGCTGAACATGATGTCCCTGAGAAGCCACTTGGTACTACTCTCCCTAGCCACCCTCTTCCTCCTCCTTAACCTTGGCCCAGCCTGTGTCGTATTTCAAGGGAATAATAATAATCCCTGCATCTCCTTGTCAAGCCTGCATTCTCCCTGTCTTGGCCCTGCACCCTGGCCATGAGTCCACTGGAGTTTGGAGGCCTCAGGCTTTGTGCGCTGTGGGCCAGGTGGGTCTCAGCCCTCCTAAGCCGCAGGGTGGGGCCTGATCCTGAGGTGGACCTCCTGGCCCACTGCTGCATCCTGCTTCCGCCTTTCCCTCCCAGGATGTGGTGCGGAAGGTGGAGAACACCAAGACGGACGGCCGGGACAAGCCCCTGAAGGATGTGATCATCGCAGACTGTGGCAAGATCGAAGTGGAGAAGCCCTTTGCCATCGCCAAAGAGTAGGGCTCCAGGGACTTCCTCCCTTCAAGCGACCATCCGCAGGCCCCGTTGCCCTCATGGGGGTGAAGATCGCCTGCCACAGGGCCCTGCTGCCCTGGGCCTAGTGCCGCCACACCCCCCACATTCCACAGGCCCACAGGCCCAGTTTTGTGACAAACTCCTGCTGACACTGACCAATAAAAACGATGTGGGTTTTTTACAGCCTACCTGTGGGCTGAGTTCTTGAGCCTGGGGCACCTCCCCCAAGTGCCTCCCAGCAAGCCGGCGCCTCTCCCTCCCTGGGGCGCCTTCCTGACATGCTGACCCAGGTGCTGTCCACATGGTTAGGCAGGGTCTGCTGCACCTTGTTCTACACTCTGCCAGCTGCTGGGCCTCAACCTTTGCTCCCCCTGCCGCCTGCTGGTCTACCTTGAGAAGTACACCTGTACCTTTGCATCGCCCACCTCTAAAGGGGCTGCTTCCTTTATTCCCATCTCCCGGCCCTGCCTTGGCCCTTGGGCATGTGAGTCCTACCATGCCCAGCTACCCTTGCAGCCAAATTCTGCCCCATGAAGGAAGACGGGCACAACTAGGCACTGGGTGGCCAAATCCTGGGTCCAGACCACGGGAGGACCTAGCCTGTCATGGAACTCAGGACTAGCACATGACTCCTGGCAGGTGGCCCAACGGCGTCGGGGCTGATCAGGGCGTCGGGGGCAGGGGAGCGAGGTGACAGGCTGCCTCTGGCTGGGCTTTAGATGGGCTGGTGCCGATGCCGATGCTGTAGAGGCCTTGGAACACACCATTCACCACCATGTTGGGCAGAGGCTCTGCAGGACAGAAGCGACAGGAGGAAGGGGTAGGTGGAGGGCTGGCCTGAGGCCTGCAGCTCCCTGATCTGCTCGTGGATTCAGCGCCCCTCAGGAGTGGGAGCCCCCGCCAAGGCAGCAGGTGACAGCTGCCCACCCCAAAGGAAGCTTTGGCATTGCCAGATCCCATGCTGTTCCCATCAGCTGGCGCCACACTCCCCCGGGGTCTCCAGCAGACAGCAGCGGCACCGAGGAGCAGGCAGTGGTCCCCAAGGAGGGCAGCGGGAGGGAAGTGCCTGGGGGCCCCCGAGAGCTGAGAGATGGTACGTCAGCTCTAGTCTCCAGATGGTGAACATGGGCTCCAGGTCAGAGGCAGCTCACCTGGGGAGGGTGCGCAAATATAGGGGTCCACACAGAAGCTCACGACAGGCCGGTGCTGCAGCTGTGGGCTAGAGGACAGCAGGTCAGGGACCATGGAGCAGGGAGGCAGGGCAGAGCCCCACATGGGACGGAGGTTAGGGAGTGAGACCGCCAGGGACGCCCCAAGGAAAAGGTGAATGGGAGGTGGGCTCGGGAGGTCCCAGCAGGAAAGGGGACCACAGGACAGGCCAGAGGCAGCCGGCCGCCTCTAGTATGGGCCACTAGAGGGCAGCAGGGGCCGGGCGCAGACGCAGGCAGTGACTTGCCTGCTGTCGCTAGGCAGGAACTCCCCCAGGGAGCTGAAAAGAAGAGAGATGCAGTGAGCTGCCGGGGGACACCTGGGGAGTTGGGAGGGTGGAGACTGCACCTCCCCAGGGACCACTGCTTCTATTTGTAACAGGCACAGTTCCGGAGCCAGCTGGGGTAACCAAGGCTGTCCAAAAGAGAAGAAAGTCCCTCGGCTTGGGTCAAGAGAGCCTGTGTCTCAGCAGGGGGAGAACCAGGCAGGGCCTCCAAAACCCTTCCTCACCCGCTTGCTGCCGAGAGCCCTGTTCCTCCCCAGCTCTGGCCTCCCTTACCCCCAGCTGCTGGCCTTGGGGTCGCTGGGGAAGTGCCGGAGCCTCAGAAATTCCAATAACTCCCTGGGCACCTCCTGGTTCAGGAACAGGATGCCCTGGAGAGGAGAACACGGGAAAGCTATCATCAGGCCCAGCCACTAATATGCACAGCCCAGTGCAAATGAACACGCAAGGCCCTTTGTTCCCAGACAACTAAGGATGTAAGGACACTGAGAGCAGAGCATTGAGCCAACCTGGGGACCCTTCTGAGCGCCGGCCCTGGAACTGCTCAGGACTCCATCCCACACCCCACCATGAGGGCGGCACAGGGTCTCACCCTGAAGGGGAAGGGTGCTAGCTTTCATTGAGCTGGGACTACCCATTCAGTCTGGCTTTTTGTACTTTTTCTTCTTTGACTTGGAGTCTCACTCCAACGCCCAGGCTGGGGTGCTGTGGCACACTCATGGCCACCCCCGTGTCGACCCGCTGGGCCTCCGACTATCCTTCCGCCTCAGCCTTCCA